CCGCCCTACTTGTCTGCATTAATGCTCTGATGGATTCGGCTGACCAGCTCAAACGCAAGGTGTTGTTCTCCGTGCCACCGGTATCGGAACGACAAAGGTGAATGGATCTGGTGGCGTGATGCCTAACTGATTCCCAGACCACTAACAATGTCACCATGGCTTTCAATGATATTTCGTGCCCGAAAAGAATATGAGTAGAATGCCAATAATGGATGTCTCTGTGCTCGATCATCTTTCTTGGTCATCCATAAAAAAATGTGCACGTAGAAGACTTGTTTGTGCGCTCTGTATTCAACTCCGGTCAGCAATTACGCCGACCACAAGTCCTCGTTACGTGTACGTCAAGTCTACACAGATCTCTGTGGTGTGGTTCTTTGGAGTCTTTGCTGGTTTTTCTAGTCTCCTCTGCTGAGGATGGACGGGCGAGGAAGAAGAACCTGCACACTTGCCATGTTCAACTTGGATCTCACGCGGAGTTCATGGTGGTGATGCCTCGTGGCCTAAATCTTCCCTTCTCCTTTGTTGGGTTCGGATATTTGTGTCGAATGGAGCCGACAGTCCTGTAGAAATCCACCGCACTCTGCTTGTCTTGTTGTCAGTCGACGTGGTCGGCTTGAATCGACAGGATGCACTGAACGATCTAAGCTAACCACCACTCAACAAGATCCACTTGTAAGGTCTTCCCTTGTTGTCAGATGGCGACACCATGAACCGGAAAGGTTCTCCCCTGCGCGAGTCAGTCAACCTGGAAAGCAGAGTCCAAATAGCAACTGCGACGCTATGGTGGATGATGATGATGATTCAAAGTACAGAAACAAAGATTAGTAGATTAATGACTTGAAGCCACGGGAATTCAAGCCTTATTAAATCCATTTCCCAGTCGCTGCGGCAATTCTTCTGCGTCACAGGTTGGACTGGTGGCTCGGATAAGAAGACGACCAAATGGTTGAAGATTAGAGAGCACAGATTCAAGTCAATTTGATGCAGCGTTTTGAGGTTTAGGATCAGTGCCATGAGATTTTGCTTGCCTTGTGATGATTGGAAGACCAGTCTCTCCTTGAGGATTGTGGTTTCGATGCTGCAAGCATGTGGGTTCGTCCCTGTGATTGGGCTGGAGCGCAGCTGAAACGAGGAGGAGAGACAGAGATGCTTCGTTTCCAGCGAACGCGCCACCGTCTTCTCTTGTTGTCCTTCTTGGTCTTCCTCGCGGACACGGTGGTTGCCGTCGGATTGGTTGTCTCTGCACAAGCAGCCAAGGACTGCGAACGAGCCTGCGGCTCCTACGCGGCCCCGTATCCCTTCGGCTTCTCCGATGGATGCCCCATCCACCTCGGCTGTTCCAATCTCCCGAAACCCACGATCCGGATCGGAGAATTCACGGTGCGGAACATCACAGACGACGGCCTCCTGGTCGACGTCCCACCGGCTTGCAACCGCTCCGTCCACGCTGCCAGGAGCCTCTTCGGCAACAACTACGCGTTGAGCCGGAGGAACGGACTGTTTCTCCGCAACTGCACGCCCACGGCCGGCAAGAGCTTGACAGAGAGATGCAGCGTCGACACCATCCTGATCGACGGCAGCTGCGGGCCAGTGTATGACAACGCCACCTGCCTCTACAATGCGACCAAGGAAGGTTTCTTCAACGCCGACAGCATCGCCGCCTCCGGCTGCGGATTCCTCTTCACGACCATCGGCATCAACGACCCGGGCGGCGTCTCGGTGCCGTCGCTGGACCTCAGCACGGCGGAGCTGGCGTGGTGGCTCGAGGGAACGTGTCGATGCGCGGCCGACGCGAATTGCACGACCGTTACATCCCCGGTGACCCATCGGCCGGGATTCCGGTGCGGCTGCTCGGAGGGGTTCCAAGGGGACGGGTTCATCGACGGCACAGGTTGCCGAAGAGGTTAGGCCTTTCCTTCTATCTCCATTTTCCTTTGAACCGATACTTTTTGGACTTGAATTGTGATTGTTCCTTTTGGGTTCACTCTTTCCAGTGTCTGATCCCAATCAAAAATGCAATCCAACAAAGTACATGACAGGTGGCTGCGGTGGAACCACCAGCAGATATGGTTTTCTCGTTGGAGGTATTCTTCCTGCTATGTGGTTGATCAAATGACCAGCAGAAATTTGATGTTCTTGCCGACCATGACTGCGGTGCTAAGATGATCGATCATCTTGTTTCAGGCATCATAGCTGGAGCCTCTGCAATGGCTGCCTTGGCTGCCGTTTGCTGGTGGATCAAACGTCACTCCTCCTTGACGAGGAAGCGGAAGAGCATGAGACGCCTGCTCTCCGAGGCATCGTGCGCCGTTCCCCTCTACTCCTACAAGGACATGGAGAAGGCCACCGACGGCTTCTCGGCGGACCACATCCTGGGCACCGGTGCTTTCGGCACCGTGTACGCCGGCATGTTCAGCCACGACAGGCTCGTGGCGGTGAAGAAGATCAAGAACCTTAACAACGACAGCATCGAGCAGGTGATGAACGAGATCAGGCTGCTCTCCTCGGTGAGCCACCCCAACCTCGTCCGCCTCCTGGGATGCTGCGTGGAGCAAAGAGAGCAGATCCTCGTGTACGAGTACATGCCCCACGGCACCTTGGCACAGCACCTACAGCGGGTGCGGGGGCCGGTGCTGCCTTGGACCGTTCGCCTCACCATCGCCGCCGAGACCGCTAAGGCCATCGCCTACCTCCACTCGGCCGTCCATCCTCCCATCTACCACCGGGATATCAAGTCCAGCAACATACTGCTGGATCACAGATTCAACCCCAAGGTTGCAGACTTCGGCCTGTCGAGGATGGGCATGACGGAGATGTCGCACATCTCGACGGCGCCGCAGGGGACCCCCGGCTACTTGGACCCGCAGTACCACCAGAACTTCCAACTCTCCGACAAGAGCGACGTCTACAGCTTCGGCGTCGTGCTGACGGAGATCATCACGGCGCTGAAGGCTGTGGACTTCAGCAGGGCGCAGAGCGAGGTGTACTTGGCGGCGCTCGCGGTGGACAGGATCGGCAAAGGCTGCATCGACGACATAATCGACCCTCACCTTGCCCCGCACAGAGATCCACGGACGCTGGCTTCCATTCACAAGGTGGCCGAGCTGGCGTTTAGATGCCTTGCCTTCCACAGGGACATGCGGCCGTCCATGACGGAGGTGGCGGACGAGCTCGAACAGATCAGGCTCAGCGGGTGGGTACCCACCGACGGCAGCATGTTCTTGTCGAAGTCGTCCTCCTCGTGCTCGTCCCCGTCGAGCTGCAACGAGAAGCCGCGCACGACGTCGAAGAGTAGGAGGTTGGCGTCGGTGAGCAGCAGGGGAGAGGAAGTGAAGGGAGGATCCCCTGTTTCGGTGCAGGAGCCATGGTTCAGCGATCGGAGCTCTCTCTCCGAGAACAACCTGTTGGGCAACGCAATCCATTGATCTGCCATGCTCTTTCGTCCATCTGTACTGAAAACACACACTTTGGAGTTGAATACGCACTGTCTCTATACAGAAGTGGCAACAATTTCCATGTTCTCTTCGTCACTACGTTCTCTTCAAATCAATACTTTTGCATGGATAATTAGGATGCCTATGTTCCTCTCACGCGTCAGATTCCGGTCGACGGCTACAGCTATCTTGGCGCCGCCTCAAGAAATCCTTTGTGACTCGATGATGAAGGCAATTGGAAAAGATTTAGGAGGCATCGCAGCGCAGAGTAAAAGAGCTGTCTGGAACGATGTACTCTGAATCGACTACATTATTCCAAAAAATTTGTTTGCAGATATTTGATTTCCATAGCCTTGCACTGTCGAGGCAGCAATGTCAAAGTAGCAGTTGAGCTTGAAAGAAGGATCATGATGCTTGTTCTCGAAGCTCCATGAACACCAGGAAGTGATCTCAAATGTCATGGCCGGTCTCCTAATCAAATAAGTCAACCACCGGAAATCAGACATTTGTCCCATGTCATTAACGGACGGACAGGTGCCCGATAAAGACCCTCCGGTGTCAGCTCCAGCAAATTCTACGTTTGAGCTCCGACAAAGTTGTGTTCTCAGATTTCTTGCACTGACCAAATCACATGTTCTTCCTCCTCATTAAATTTTGGTTTACATTGAGCTCAGTTGATGACAGTATACAATCTGCAAACGCAACAAATAATGTGAAACATATGGATTGCAGGAAAAGGTATCCGATTTGGTAACTCGAGAGACCCAAGCATAGATCAAATGTGAAAGGCTCTGAGAAGGAAATTTGCAACCCACACCTAACTATGTTAGCTCATAAGGCGGCGAGGAAAGAAGATATGGCAAAACTTTGATCCATCCAGCACTAATTTTAGTTTGACCAATACAGAACATGAAAAGGACCCTAACTTAAGGAAACCGACTTCTTTGAGCTGTGGTAAGAGTTGTGCTTTGGCTCTTCCAAGCATGAAGAGGTGTGTGTGTATATATATATATATATATATATAAGACGAAG